AACTAGTCTACAAGCCTAATTCTATTTCAATTCCGAACTTACGATACAGTCCTTTCCGTATGGACACGATTCGGCGGTATACTAAGGAAGCTCTGCTTCTCAACCCAATGGATTCCAAGGAGATAAATGTCGCTGTATGAAATCAAACACACCGTGCAGCGGAGATGCGAACCCTTGAGGTTTACTTCACATTCAGTGTCCCCATCTTACGTCAGCGGTTCCCCGGATGTATTTGGTGTCGTTTGAGTTGTGCACTTGAAAGGCGGTCTACCAAGTTTCGTCCACGTCAAGCGCGAAATGATAATGGTGTCAGATGCCGTATCTAGCCGCAAGGTTACAGAGATATCCTTTATTTTCACTGTCAAATACTTTCTATTGCCTGTAAAATCCATGCAAAACGCTGTGAGAATTACCTTGGTCCTTGATCTGTGACAATTAAACCTTCTGAAGCTTGGGTCTGTCCGCAGTCTTGGGGGAAACGAGCGTCTGAAGCTGTGTATAAAACGACAGTTGGTTTCTTTATGGCCAAACCGTTAGCACTACTGGCATCGATGCTGTTGTACGTGCAGTCTTGCAAAATGCCATGCGCCACCATTCAAACATACGGTCTAGGGCTTCCGGCTGCATGCATTTCAGTTCATCCCTTATCCACGGACAACTGTACGACAGACATGAGGTTACTTCATGTGATCAGCAATCTCAACCAATTTGGGTAATACTTCAGTTTTAGCAACCGCTGATGTTCGGCTGTGATCCCTCGCAATGTCAAGTATGGATCCTGTTCAAGTACGTGGAGAATCCGCGTCCGAATATCAGCATCGGCATAGAACTGAAGACACCACACAAAAATAAGACTGTTAATCTTATCAGCGGTCACCGTTCCCAAATTGAAGCGTTCACCTTCGTGGTTCGCGATCTAGTATGGGTTCCAAATCACGGGCACAGCGTCCGACCAACTTCAAACAAGTGTAGCGAATGCTGAACAACGAGGCTTGCTCACCAAAAATCTGTGTAAGAGTTTTCACCATCGCATCAAAGCTGGAATCCCTGGTATTTTCCAACATCAGGAACTTCGTGTACGGTTCATGCTCAACTGCACCAAGTTTCTCAAAAACAACCAAACTACAGGCATCATCTTAGACCCGCAAGTTCCATTCGAAAAATAATTTCATACTTTTTAACCCCGTTTCAAATGTCACTCCGCGCATTTCATTGAAGGCTAATTGGGTGATTAAGGCTGCATGAGCGTTCACGGATTGCCGTGAAACGGTTTTTCGTATTCGGTCTGGTAGTTCAGGTTCTGTGCAGGCAACGCAAGCAACTGCTTCTAAGGTTGCTCGAACAGCAACTGCTGCTGTTAAAAAAGGGTTTGCATCTACTCTAACGAGGTCACCCTATTGCCCTGAATTCATTCGCCAGCAAATGCTATGTCGCTGATGAATGCCTTCGCCGCAAGACCGCAAGAAGAGTTCTAAAGACGTGGCGGGACAAAGTCAATCCGTTGCATTATGCCTGCTTAAATAGTTTTGTGAATGGACTGAATGGAAACTACTAAAAGGCTTTCAAGCCAACCATATTGCTGAAGACATACAAACAGAATAAAACCAATGAAGAGTGATCAATATGGGAACCAATAAGGGCACGAAACGCATGAAAAGACTGGTCGTTAGCAAGCAAGTCGAGCTGCGATCCGAAGGCAGAAACAGTGACCAGGTGCAGCCAATGAACTTAGCGGAAGGATGTTTTAAAACAATGGTTAGTAACAGCGATAGCGAAAGGAAACAAGGCAGTAACTAATAATGTTTTCCAGACAGTGTATGTTTAATAAGTGCCCCCCCTAAGAACAATTTACATGCACTATAGACTAGCCATTCGTGTAGTCTGATGAGCCCGAGCCGAAAGCCCTCCGATGATGTTCTCCATTCTATGCTCATACAATAGCCAACATTCAAGTACAAGCAAGATTTTATTTAGTGGGCTTTGCGAAAACACCGATGTTATATGCTGGTGTTCAATCTCACCTGTCACCCCACCTCAACCATTCTCACTCCGCCTACCCCTCTAACAAACTTATCGAAGGCTTCTTATGCCCAACCTTCTAGAGGGAAACCCTTGCAATGAATCATAAATCGTTTACTGGCTGGCTGGCCGAACAATCTCTTCATGGTGGCAGTTGGGTGGTTCGGGATTATCCCGTTCCAGCGAATGGTTCGGCGGCAGTGTTCCAGGACGTGGTGGGTTTTCGCCTGGCAAGCGTTCTCCCTTTAACAGCCATATATGTCTGTTTAACAACACTGAGACGTCGCGGATGTGACTCGTCACTAATTAAAAGCACTGCCCCTTGCCTGTCTCTGAGCGGCATTGTAATTCAAGTGTGCGTTGGGCCGTGTTCCTATGCGGTCCCAAAGGCGAATGAACCACTTGTTTGTTCACCGCTTCCCAACGGGTTACGATAACCTCATATCGCCCTGCTGCCTCGTAGGTTAGATACTGGAGCAAAGACTCGGGGTGCGGTCCGCTAAGACAACCATCTACTTCGGCCTGTCCAACCACGTGGTATTACGCGCACTGACGAACCATGGATTGACTGCACTACTGGTTCTGCTTTTGCTATATCTACTGACTTTGCTACTCGACACCCTCTCACAGGTCGTCCCTCGTCCAGTTCCTCAACTGCATCTCTGTCTTTCCCGGTTACCGCCAACAACAGCTCCGTGGTCGCATCTGTCAGAGTTCTGGGCCCAAGTTTTGCTGTTCGTTGCCCTGTGGTCACAACATCCTCACACTCAACCGAAGCCGAAGCTTTCCTTCGGCCTTGTTCTCCATTCGGCCTTGCAGCGTTCAATGTGTTCACTCAAATGCAGATCGGACGACAAATATATCTGACCCGCACCCTTGAAACACTCTCTGACGACGTCTGTTGCATTTCCGAAACCAGATTGCAAGACACCAGTACCACCATCAGGATGACATCTCCTGCAAACTCTGACATTACCTACCAGTTGCCCCTTCCCGGGGACCCAGAGACCGCCGCTTCTGGCCAAGCTGGTATCGGGTTTGTACTGAGTGACAGGGCTGAGGTCGCACTGCTTGACGGAATCCGAGTCAACAGTAGGCCATGTGCAGTCAGCCTATGAGGTTCTTGTAAGTTAAGTATAAGTCTAGGTGTTACGCGTACCTTGTTTGTCATCTCCGCCTACGCTCCTACAGACCGTAGCCCGGATGAAGCCAAGGATTGCTTTTAGCAACAGCTACATGAGTTTCTGCGTTCCGCTAAAAGTCCTGTTAGAGATCACGGATGTCAGCCACACAGACAGCACGAGAAAATCGATCGATTTCCAGCGCGTGGGGTTGTATGTGTTAGCTTGGAACTTTCAGTCAACCGCATGACACGTGAGCATTGATTACTTCCGACCAAGTGCGTAGATTTTAAAGGGTCGCCTGTACCGGGAGCCCAGAGAGCGATTCGAGAAGACGGATCGAGTTGCAGGGAAACTTTTATTGGTACAGTAAAAGATTCCCTGTTATCTAGCTATAAAAGAAACGACACCGTGGACGCTCTAGCTAGGGAACGGAGCATGCACAGCACACAGGGCAGTCGCGAGTTGCAACCGAAACGAGCGCCAAGCAAAAATGGCGATGAGCAAGTCAAGCATTCGAACTCAGCAATCAGTTCAAAAAACCACACCGGTTGCCTAGGTGTACCATGAAATAATTTTAGTGAGAATTTTACACAGGCAAACCAGGGAATCTCCAGACTGCTACAAGTTAACGGCTTTCGCGGACCGTTGGTTGTAACATCAGTTGTGCAAGTAAACGTTGTCAAACAGTGTCAATTCTGACTTCTTGCTACTAAACAGGTGTTATAACAGTCTGAGGACGGAGATGGTTGAGCACAATGTTATGCAAATGTTACAAAAGCAGTGCCATCAATTGGATTCAGCAGAGCGAAGTTATTTGAAGTTCTCGCACGAAATTTTTCAGCACACAAATCAGAGGTTCCAGAGGGCAGAAGTGATACTCAACTTAAAGTTGCATTGGCCAATGGAATTCAAGAATTCAGTTACGACCCAGACAGTGGCAACGCATTTTTAGCTTGGTACAAGAGATATGAAGACATTTTTTATTGTCGAAGGTTAAGTATTGGAGGAATCAGCAAAAGTACGGCTTTTGATGGAAAAACGTGGATGTTCTGAACACACAAGATATTACAGTTACATTCTAGCAAAACACCCGAGATTATACTTTGCAAGAAACCGTCGATAAGCTTA